TATATCACCATCGCTTTGAACAACGGACCCAAGATATCTAAATCATTTACACCTTTTAATAATTTGATCACCCAAAGTCACACTTCTGTCACTAGAGCTACTACTACTAAAATTACATTCCATGTATTCAGTTTTAGTTCTACTTAAATGAAGGCCTTTAGACTCCAATGTAGACCTCGATAATTAAAGTTTTTCTTGAGTTTTTTCTCTCGTTTTATCCACGAGAAGGATATCATCAGCAAAAAGCATACGCCAAGGTACATCCTCCTGTAGATGTCCAGTAAGACCATCCATAACTAAAGCAAAAACATATGGGCTTAAAACCAATTTTTGATGTAATCCAACAGAAATATGAAAATAATTGTTCAATCCTTCTTCAGTTTGAATACAAGTAACAACTCTAGTATAGATGTCTTTAATGACTTGAATATAAGTCATATCAACACATATCTTCTCAAGAATTCTCCAAAGGATATCTCTTGGAACCTTAACGTAAGCTTTTTTTAAATCAATAAAAATAAAATGTAGATTCTCCTTATTATCTCTGAACTTCTCCATCAAACCTCTCACTAAATGTATAACTTCCATAGTAGACCTACCCGACATAAATCCAAATTTATTATGAGAAATCTTAGTAATGCGTCTTAACTTATGTTCAATTACCCTCTTCCATAGTTTTAAAGTATGACACATCAACTTAATTCCTCTATAATTTGTACACTCATGTAAATCCCCTTTATTCTTAAAGATGGGGACCAAAATACTCTTCCTCCACTCCTCAGACATCTTTTTAGTTTTTAAAATAATATTATAGAGTCTGGTAAGCCAATAAACTCCCAAATCTCCTAAATATTTCCACACTTCAATTAGGATATCATTAGGTCCTACAGTTTTTCACCCTTAGTTTTTAAAGCCTCTTCAACTTCTTTTTAACTAATGCGACGGTAAAAATGAAAGTTTTATTATTATTCATGATATTCAGATCACTAAGGTCGATCGTATTTTTAGAAACTTCATTAAAAAATTTATCAAAATAACTCACCCATCTATGTTGAATATCTTTCTCTAAGAAAAGTACTTTTTGATTTTCATCTTTAATACACTTTACTTGAGTTAAATCTTTACTATTCTTTTCTCTTTGTTTGGCTAGTTTATACATATATTTTCACCCTCTTTAGTATCTAATCTATTATAAAGATCATTAAAAGCAGAATTTTTAGCGTCACAAATTGTTCTTTTAGACTCTCTGTGGGCCGTTTGCTATTTTTCTCAGTTCTCTACGCTTTTACATTTAAATCAATTTTTATAACATAACTTCTTATATTGTATCTTTTCTTGCACATTATTATTCCATCACCAACTATTTTTATTTATAAAAAAAATTTCTTTTAATTCTCCAAGCACATCTTTTGCTACTTATTTAGTAGTGTTTGTTACTTTATCCCACATAACATTTGTTTCTTCATGAACATCCCAAATTTTGAAATATTGAATTTTACTCATAAAAATAATTTTATTTGTGTCTTTTAGGTTCCCCCATCTAATTCTACGATGATGAGTCATAGTATTCTTTATTTTACAACTCTTCATCTTCAAATTTAGAACTAACAAACGATGTTGGGTATTTCAATTCTCACTAGAATGACCTTACAATCTTTACAATCTTAACGATCTATTCCTCTTATAAGAAAATAATTAATTTGTGTTTTATTAGATCCACTCTTATAAGTAATAAGATGTTCATCCCTTTTCTTGAATAAAGTATTAATAATAACAAAATCAAACGCTAAAGCAAAATCTAAAATAACTTTACCTTCTTCATTAGTTACTCCAAAACCGTAGCCACCATGAATATTTCTGAAATCTTCTACCACTCTACCGACATGTCCATTTAAATCTCCTCCAATAAAAATTCTTTCTTCAAGAGGTATCATTTGTATTAAGTCTTCTAAGTCATTCCAAAATTTATCTTTAGACTCTGTATCTAAACCTACTTGAGGAGCATAAACACTTATAATATTAAAAATCTAATTATCAATGATAATCTTAAGGGCTATAATTCTATCACCAACTCTATTAATTTTTACAACATTATCTTTCAAACTCTTATCTATAATTACACCTACACCATTTCTAGTGCGACTCTTACCAGAATACCAAAGTTTAAAACATAAATTATC